TAAAGTCGTCCAGATTTCGTCGCTGTCCTTGGTGTACTCAGCCGCGCGGAAATCGAGTCCCTCGCCTCCCGCTCACATGCCCTTCGTGAAGCCCGTCACCAGCAGCACCAACACCAACGCACGCAGTCCACACCTCAACCATCATTATCATCAAACCAAGCACCACCACAACCACCTCGACCTACAACCCTCCCCATCCCAGTACCTATTCCAATGCCCGTCCCCTCTTTCTCCACCTCGCCCCGAGTCTCATTTAACCACCGAAACCGCAGCGGGAGAGACACGCCATCGTCCTCCTCTCCTTCTGACTCCGAAGATTCAGATGACCACGTGAGAGACAGAGGTATGGGCGGTAAGAGACGGCCCAAAGTGCCACGCAGCTACGCGAGTTCCAATGCCGGCGTCCCTGTATCCGGATACCCTAATCCATATGGCTCGCCACTTCCGCCTAGCCCACTTTGGAGCCAGGGCAGTAGAGATGGCTGGAACGGACCATCTTCGCATAATGATAAAGAGAGACCGCGAGAGCGAGAAAGGGACGGCCACCGCGAGCGTGATCGCGAGAGAGATTACGAACGGGACCACGAGAGACGGGAGCGAGATCACGAGCGGAAAGACAGAGACAGAGAGAGGGAGAGGGAGAGGAGACGCCATTCCTCGACATCGACCTCGAAGACTTCAAAACCAAGTGAGCGCGGACACCAGAGAGATCGGGCGCCACCGCCGGCGCGCCAGGGAAGCCGTTGGAAAGAGCATATGACTGCTGCTGGTATTGGCGGGGCGGCCGCGAGTTTAATCAATGTTTTGACGGAAGCGGCGGAGGGGCTATGATGCGGTTTTTTCTTCTTCTTTTTAATATTGGAGAGGGGTGTGTTCTTTTCTTGATGATGACAATGATGCTCATTGATGCTATGATTTATGATTGATGTTCTAGTTTGCTTTACGAGGGTGGCATGGTCATAGCGAGCGTCATTGGAGGTTGTTCATTGTTTTGATAGGTAGGAATATGAAATCGGCATGACAGGAAAGCTCGAACAGTGAGCGGGAGCGAGAGCGAGAGTGGGAAATGTATATGTAGGATAAATTAGGATTGACCAATCAGACAATCAGATGGCGAGGAAGATGCTTTATCTGTAAAAGTGACAAACAGGACGCTTGACAGTTATATTAGTGATGTTTCGAAAGGAGTTGACATGTGTCTTCAATGTCTTCAACAGATGTTGGAATATTCGGAAGCTACAACAAGGAGTGCGTTTTGTTTTTAAGGGCAGGCACTCGCTTAATTTGCTCCGAAGCCTAAACACAACCAGGAGTGAACGTAAGTAGTCTAAGCAGTGTTCTATTGAACAAGCGGTACACTTACGGTGAGTCTACTAAGATTTTTATATGCTAAGGCGACTCTGATTATGTATCAATTTTTGGAACTATTTAGCACGCCCGCCCCAACGCCTAACCCAGGAATAAATAATCCTTCTTCGCAACCAGATTCCGATCTGCTGCATCTATATTTACACTCTTCCGTAATAATATGCTGTGAGATAATGTATCCTACTCACTATTCGTAAAATTATCTATCTCTCACCCATACAGCCAACAGACTTCCACACTTCCTCCAACTGACCCAACATCTATTTCTTTCCCATTTTCGCCCTCAACTTCGCCCCAAAGTAGTAGAACGAATAAGGAATCAGCACCATCGCCAACCCAATAAACGCCAACAACCAACTTGCCCACTGCAACCCCAAGCGATCATACATCTGCGTCGTAAACAATGGGAACGCCGCACCACCACCCGATCTCAGGAACACTTTCGCCGCCAGCGCCGAAGCCGCAAACTTCTGATACGAATCAATAATATAATTGTTAACCGAGTAATAACACAACACCATGCCAAATCCAAACGCAATTCCCGACGATGCGGGTCCAACCCAGATGATTCCTTTGTATGATGTGGCGCCGAGGATGAACAGCGAGATTGGGATGAACGGCGAGCCGATCAGGGCGCCGATGAGGCGGTCTTCAGGCGTGGGAGCGCGCGTGTGGCAGATGCCGCGGAAGTGCTTCTCGATGAAAGGGGTGGCGATGAGTGCGAAACCCGCTCCGATCAGGATGGGGATGAACATGAGACCGATCTGGCCGTCGTTGTAATGGTACAGCTTGGTGAAGATAACGGGGTACGCGAAGAAGAAGGCGTAGAGCATGGCGTAGATGAGCACGATGTACATGCACATCAGATCCAAGACAGGCTCAGTCAGGATCATAGTGATGGGTCGGATCAGACTGGTGCGGACGATTTCGTGGAGCGTGAGTTTCACTTTCTCTTGCTCGGTGATGATGTTCGGGTTGTTCAACTCGAGTCTGAGTTTTGCTGCACGTCGCTTCAGGATTACAGGTGCGTAGGTCTCGGGAATCATACCGACGACGATGAGGATGATGCCTGCGAACCCCATGTTGACCCAGAAGAAGAGGTCGAGACGACCAGTACCGACGTTGATCCATCCACATACTATAGGCCCGAGAACTGGCCCGCAGTATGGAGCCGCCGCGAAATATGCAATAGCCGTCCCGCGCTCCTCGATGTTCCATATATCAGCGATCGTCCCGCCCGCGAGCGAGAGCCCGGAACTGGAGAACACACCGCACAGGAACCTGCAGACGAGGAGGCCGCCGATGTTGGGAGAGAGCGCGCAGGGAATGTTGAAGATCGTGTACAAGGACAGCGAGATTATGTATACCGGGCGACGACCGATGATCTCGGATAATGGAGACCAGAGGAGCGGACCGACAGCAAATCCACACACCATGATCGAGCAAGTCAAGATCGCGACTTCAAGCGAGACGTCGTATTTGTCTTCGATCAGTCCCAACCCGCCGGTCACGATCGCGGAACCATACGCGACGCAGACGACTAGCAGGGAGACTACAATCGTCACGTACCAGCGATACGCATCCGACCAATTCTGCGGGTTATCCGAATCCGCAAACGTGAAAGTCACGAACTCATGCTGATCCCTCCCCTTCTCCAAATCTCCACCCTCACTTCCACCCGCGCCGCCATTATTTTCCCGCCCATGCTGTGGATGTGTCCTCGATCGTACAGTAGCAGCTCTCGACCTGATCTGCTCGAGCGCTTCTTCAGGCACAAAACCAGTTGCTGTCTCGAGCGTGTATTCTTCCGGGAAGACGGGGTCGTCTTCACGGCCTACGTCTGGGTAGTTGAAGTCGAGAGGGGGGATGGCCTCGGTCACGCCTAGGGAGGTGAGGGTTTGCCGGGTTTCGGAGCGGGTGAGGGGAGCCTCGTGATCAGCGTGTTGATTTGAAGTCATGATGTTTTATGAGTTTGGTGATGCAGGTCATAGAAGGATGAGTGTGATTGATACCTTCTACTAAACAAACAAAACCCTCATCTCATCCACCACCTTCACCTCCTTATATACAAACCCCCAAATCCTCCCATTCTGCTAAAATAAAAAATGTCTCAAGCAATCCCGCAAAACTCGACCGCTGAATCTCCACTATGCCGAGACGCAAGAGGCTGAGAAGGCGTCAACAGCGATTATTTTCGTGTCGCGATCTCATTTCGAGACAAAGGAGACAACAATGATGTCAATTCGCTGCACGGTCAGCCTCTTTGCCGAGTTTACCTTTTCCTTTTGGGTGCCGTGCAGGGCTGGAGTGGATCGTCAAGCGAGCCAGTGCGGTGATGAGTCGGGAATTGTGAGGCTTTTTTTCCTTGTGGTGGTTTGTAGGGCTGTTTGCCGTGTGCCGGGTGGACGTCTGCCCGAGTTTGGAGATGCCGAGAGTGCCCGAGGGGAGTGGGAAGGAAAAGATAAGGAAAAAGGAAAGGGAAAAGGTCAGAAGAGATGCAGACTGTTTTAGTAGTAATGGTACGAAGCAATTGATGGGCTAATATCTCGAAAGTAGGAATTCTCCGTTCATCCAAAAGTTTGGGAATTTGAAGTGGTTACCAAGTCGAAATTGAAGCTGAAAATATAGGCTGGGCTGGGCTGGGCTGGTCAAGCCCAAGTTCGTAAGCGAAAAAGTCAACAAACATAAATTAAGCAGGTCTGGCCTTCTCCCTGATTTCGATTATCTACAGTCCTTCGGGAGCGGTGCTGGTCTAAATTGTGTACGATGCACTTGAAATCATAATCGCTTTCAAAAGAAGATATTTCACAGCAAGAGCTCTCATTTGTTCAAACAGCGTCTCATACACTGACCGTGGACCACTGTACCGTGTGGAAATTGAGCCGGCCAAACAGGCTACCGCTATTTCAATACCAAATTCTCCCAAACAGGTAGCATGAGACGGTCTCTTCCTTAGCTGATCAATTGGAGCTCTTCTGGTTTTGTGCAGAGTATTTCAGCGTGCATCGCAATGTTTTTGGCAAAGCGTCAAAGTCATTACTGTATTTGGACTGCGCAGGTAGTGTAGTTGTTATTGACCATCAGCCAAATGGCCACATAGAGATGTACAGGATCATGACATGAAAAATGTCATAAGAGGAATTTTATAGCACATACAAATCGTGTTTATGTTGGGTAAGGTATTGAGTTAAAGGAAAATTACTCATTTGCTTGAGTGCAGGAAACCACATGTCTTGCTTCAAATGCTATGCGACTATCTGGTGGTCGAGCGTGCCCTGAAGCGGGCCTGAAATTTTAGCGGGACACCGCTGATTTTCAGCGTTTATGTCTCTGCATTAGGTCAACATAATAACTTCCTCTACTCCACTAAGTAAGGGTAGCGCAAAATGAAAGAATCGCAATAGAGCATACACTCCAAAGTCTTGCTTCAGCCAGATTGAGCGCATTGTTACCCAAGCGTAAAGCAAGGAACAAACCTGCAGACTTATGCTACGACTGGGACCAACAATGCCAATTGTTGCTGCTCAGCATTCTTGTAGAGCAGGACACGGCAAAGAAGAAAACGACAAAGAGGGAAACAAAATACTTTCAAAAGCAATTAAAAATTAAACAGATGTTAAAACAAAAGTAATTGCCCAAACGCGGAATCGAACCGCGGATCTTCTCATGTCGCGTCACATCGTATACGAGTGAGACGCATTACCACTGTGCCATTCGGGCAAGTTTAACCATAATTGGTCACCTGTGATGCTGCAAAAACTGTTATTTCATTACTAATAAGCAATAACGTCTGTCGAAAATTTAGTGCGCAGAAATCCAATGGCCTCGGCTAATCCCACCAATCAAATCCTAGCTTAGCGGTTGGTGGAGTTTCGAGTGATTGATCTTCACCAGCATGACGAGCTTAAGAAATTTGTACTGAGATCTTCAACGTGCGGGGAGCTGTCCACTGCGAAAGAATCAATATGAATGGGAGAGAAGGGCATTTGTGGGAGCTCAGAAAACTTACATTGGTTCCGGTCAACTTGCTGTCGTTCCGAGGGTTGCCGTGAAGATAGTGGAGTGCTCACCGCAGATTCCAGTCGTCCTTTCGCGTCTGACTGGAGCGGATTCGAAACGTCTGAGATCGCTTTCCCAGCATGCCCTCAGCTTCCTCATGAGGCGGCAAAACTTTGTAGTTACAGTAAGTAACTGTATATCTGCCACTCGATTCTCGAGTATCTATTCAATGAGCTTTTTCATTTCCTTCTCTGCTCTTTCAAACTTCGGGTCGGCCTGCCAGCTGGATTGAATCAGGTTTTTGTGCATTGGATTCACTCATCGAAGATTGGTCATTCCCTCATCCACCTCCGCATTTTGATCCGCTTGAGTCTGAAGTGTTTTCAAATTGACCGTGACGATTCATCGAAGTTCCTGCAACTCTTTGACGGCCCTTGTCTTCTCAGCCACACGATCCTGCATGGTCTTCCGTTGATCCGCAATTGTTTGCTGAAATGCCTTCAGTTCTACCTCATGCGCCTGAAGCTGGAGTATCAGCTGTTGATCCGCCGAACTAAGTTGTGATTCGACCGTTTCATGAGCTTTTCCGGCAGTATTATCTTGGGCACATTCATGACTGGGGTCAGATTCGACACCATTTATTTCACTGCGTATTTATAAGCCGTTGTTTGCAGTGTGTATACCTAGGCATTCGGAGTTCCGTAAAGGCGTGAAAGTTGCTTACTTTTGTCGCCTATCACTGACGATGAGACCAGTAGCCCATTGAGAGGGAGCAGGACAGGCAAAGAATGCGATGAAGTGCTAGGCCTGCGTCCGAGGCTCTCATGTGTCATTCTTCCGGCCTTCTTCAAGTAGTTGAAGGTTTTCTCAAGCTTGTCCCGAATTTTAGCGTTGACGATACGATGGATCGATTCAAGATCTCTGCTAGAAAGTTCTCCGAACCCAGCTTCTGCTGCATGCTCCCAGCAAGCTATTGGTCAGTGAAGTGAGATCTGAGGTTTCTGGCGCTCACTTCCCCCTTCCTTGATCTCGCTGTACCACTTCTGGAATGGACGCCCTGATACGCTGCCATGCATCAAGGAGGGTTTCAACATTGAATTCTGCGCTTCGGTCCACGTGGATCTATCAATTCGACCTTTAGATTTGAGCGGGCTCACTTTATGGTTCATGATAGTCTGGCAAGCAATCAGTATATTGAGTACCACTGCGCAGATGGTGGGACAGGGTGCTTTGTCTGCTCATGTTACGAAAGCGCAGCTCCCTCCTTTCAGCACAGGTCTTCCCTATCCTTTACAACCAACGTCGACGTATGAGGCGAGGTTATCGCCTCTTTCTCCTGCGAACGCCAGCTTTCCCACTTCTTAAGATGAAGATACAGATCCACACCGGGCATCTTCGCGACTCTTGCTCTCGTCCGACTACTTTCAACAAACTCTACTCTACGTTTCAGGAAGACTCCAATCGCATCTCTCTAGCGTATCGCCACTTGCAGGTGGCTGTTCGAACCTGTTGCAAGCAGCAAAGAGTGTCTTTCATCGGTCCCCTTTCCGAGATGTTGAAGAGTGAAGGATTACTGGTGGAATTTTGTCTAGCAAAACTTGTGGAGATTCAAGATGTTGAGAGACAGACAGGACGTGCTGCTGTCGGGAAAGTAATGATTGAAGTTTTGCGCCATGGAAATTGGCCAAATAACATCGAATTCCTCAACACTATGCCGCACAGTGTTGACGATGTCGATCTCCAGCCTACGGTCGATACTCATCACGGTTATCTTCAGTCGATAAATGGAATTCTTCGTGGTTTCTTGACCGGCATCACCACGACCTTCTGCACATCGTTTTTGATTCAAAAGCGGAGACTCCGCTTCTGCCTCTTGATTGTGGCCATGCTAGTAATCAATTTCCTTGTTCACATTGCCTCTTGGACAATGGGCCTTCTGGTCTCTGGGGTACGCGACAACTACCTTGAGTTCTGGCCGGACGTTACCGCATTCCTTACGGCTGTGATACCAGAAATCTCGCGGTTTTCGTCAAAGGTTGTACCTAGCACTCTGGATCAATCCTCAACGCAGGTGGGGGAGGGCTTCCAGAATATCGCCAATGGCACTTTGCACATGACCCAAATTATCTTCGAACATGACGGTCCTGCCAATACTTCTTGGCTTCTTATTGAAGGGCGTTGTGGCAGGTCGCAGTATTGTACGGGTATCCACTGTTTAATACAAGGCAAAATTATTCCTATTGTACGACGATCTCGAACTTAATTTACAACTCCTGATCGATGACTCTATGAGTTTCAACTCTGGGGTACCCGATCTCCTTCAAATCTTCGGGACATATCTGTCTATCGCAGTCGATAGTGTGGAAAAAGTCGAATCCCCTGATCTACACGGCTCTCTCTCTCTCTTCAAATGTCGTCTGCGTGTGTCTTGTGGTGGCTAGGCTCACTGCAATGGCCACACAACGGTATTGCTACCTATGGGTGCGGTGGCTCTCTTCTTGCTAGTACAGTACTGTTCTATTGCGTAGACACCACACCAACCCTGAGCGAGGGGCTCCTTTCTTCAAAGTGTCTGGCTTATGCACCTGAACGTCTCATGATCTCTGGTGTTCAGAGAGCAATATCCCACAGGAGGACTGCGATACAGGATCTCCAGGATTTTCTTCGGCACATCTCGGGTCGCATGGAGGAACTCCATGGTTTTGCCGACACCAGCATTGAGCTGTGCAACTCGATCAAGCGATCTTTCGTAGCAATCCAGGACCTTGTGCTTGAGAACCAATACAAAGCCAGCGATACCTCCACTGTAGTAGCAAATGAACTTTCGGATGCTGGATATTGGAAAAAGCCTTTTGATTCGGCCGGCCGAACTTCGTCCAAGGCTAGGCTGGTCGAGTTGCGAATGGAGATGAGATACCAAGAAGAGATACAAGCCATCCACAGACTTGCTTCTGATAGCTTCATAGCTAAATCCCTTTTGCTTCGCGAATGGAGAGTCGATGTCGACCGTATTAGGAAAAACTTGGATTTTCTGGAGATTCAGACGACACACAATACTTGGCACACTGTGCGGGATGGCAACGAGGATTGGAACAGGCTCAAGAGAAAGATGCGCGATTTGGAGATCTTGGCCTTGGATCCTCTGGCGAAAGCATTTTCGAATTTGCGGACGAAAAGTCGCCAAGATCTGGCTCATCTCCATCGATTGACAGCTGATTGTTACGCCGCAACTCATGAGGCGATCCGTCGAGTGTTTGCCAGGCCAACTGTAGATTACATTTTTGAGCGCTTGCACTTCGGCAGGGTGGTCTGAAGTATGGAAAGAGGAAGGAAGAGGTATGCCATTCGGGCCCGGCTTTAACCATAATTGGTCACCTGTGATACTACAAAGTTGTTATCTTATTACTGATAAGTAACAATATCGAAGAAAATTGTGGTATGAGGAAATTAAGTGGTCTCTTTCTACTCATCAAATCAAATCTCAACTTTGCTCAGTGGAGTTTATATTAAGCGATGAGCCTTCCATGAGTGCGTGTTGAGTGCTGCGCCAAGAGCAGAGCAGGTTACTGGGACAAGTAAGACAATTTATTTGAGGGCCAATGAATTAATGGCACCCAGTGGTCAGAGTACGTCTCCTGCAGTGACGGGTCAAATGCAGACGTCAATGATTTATGTAAGGGTCACGTGCTAATCACGCCTTCCGGAACCTCCCGGAACCGGTCTACGAGTAGCTGAGAATAAATACGAGTCATGCCCACCAGCTTGCAGAGTAGGTCTGTACAGCATCAACGACCGTGAAGGACTACTGCACGTTGCTCACTGGTAACAGAAATATGTCAAAGTCCACGAGAGAATCATGACGGCGAGAACAGAGTAAGTGCGCTAAAAAGTTGAGTTAATTTCCGGCAGTGTACAAAGAGAATTGGAACTAGGATTGGAACCGGGCCCTCAACAAAGGAAAAGCATTCACCAATTCAGCATCGATTACGCGTCGATATCACGCAGCCATCAAGTACGATTCAGGACAGACCCACGGGGGTTTCACATATGTACCTTTGCTTGCAAACACAACTTCGAAGATATGAAGATATCTCGGACCGAGAAAGAAGGTTTCAGACCGCCTCTACAACCCCGGAACAATCATCGATCAGCTGGACATACAGCAAGACACAGTCTCCCTGTACTTGATGCCGACTCATCACCCTACTCTGTTGTCCCACTTCAAACCTTCTGGTACCCCTTGAACCCTGATACATCCTGTCGTCCCTGCATTCCAGGTTGTGTTCTTGTATCTTCAAGTGCCTGGGCACGCTGGCAAACTGGGCTACCAGGACGTGAGAAGTATGGCTCTCCAGATCTGCGTGGAAGTGTCCTGCTCAATACCCAATAAACAGGCGGGAGCTTCCAGGAAAGCGGCTCCGCTTCGAACGATGATACATGGAGTTTGTAAATGCCGTCGCGTCTTCGGCCTTATCAGCATCCGCACAGCTTATTCTTTCGAACTTCTCTGGAAGGAGGAAGGAAGGCCTGATAACTTGATAACAAAAGCAGTCCTGGACAGGCGCCAGAATTTTTGTTTTGGTACCCTGTGTCACGAGACTTATTGAGGAGCTCAACAATCTCAAATTGCACTCTCCTCAAATCGCAGTCGACCGGATCAAAGGCAGCTCACACTTACTCGGAGTCGAGCATCTCAAGCTGTTTGCAATTACCCTGCAACT